CCCCCCAGCCGGGATTTGAACCGACAACCTTTTTGCTGAGAGCCAACAGCTCTACCAATGGAGCCACTGTGCTGTCATATATTTCTATCTTCAAAGAAAAAAGTAAACTAAATAAACCTGCGCAGTTGAATGAATACTTTGAATAAGTGGTCAGTAATGGTCACAGCAAGAAAGTCACCAGTTTGATTCCTTGTTGGGGCCAGTCTGAGTGGAATTTAAATGTTGTTCAAGACCACACATGGGTTTCCTTTTAGTAATAAAGTTACATCCACTATAAATTTAACACTCCTAATGATTTCAAATTATATGTTGTTCCCCTTCTTTAACAAGAAGATAATGTATGATTTATTATATACCAATCAAATGATATATCGTCCTTTTTATAAGAGTGGTCAACATATTATTTGAAACCATAAGAATTCAGGTAATTTTATTATTACCTGTTACTGGTTAACGTCACGGTCTGTGGAGGATATGGACACAAATGCTATTGAAGGCAAATAATGCTGAGGCTGCGGAGCTTGTGTTACTCTTCCATAGAGTGAGTCATAACACCGAGTTGAAGCTTGTATCAAAAACACCACTGTCACGTGACCAATGATGTTCGAGGCTTCGGATGTCATTGCTGCTTAATTTTACCCTTTGATGAGCTTCAATTCACTCAGGACCAATCACAGTTTTACATGTTTGAATGGTTTGGTGCTACACAAGGATGAGTTGGGACATGAGTTTGGGACAGGGGCGGGGCTTACTCAATGTTTGCTGAGGATAGTTATTGCTGAAGTCCCACGTTTGGGAGTGAAGGCTGCGTCTCTGTTAGATCCAGACAAATGTATGTTAAATCCTTGGGCGCATTGGCACCAGAAGCATTTGTGTGTGTGTGTGTGTGGGGGGTGGGGGTGGGGGGGGCACACTAGGGGTGATTCTAGAATCTGGCCTTTGGGGTGCCAGCCCACAGTGCTGACAATGGCTCTTGGCTTGAACAATGCAGTGGGCGTACACAATTGTTTTTTTTTTTTTACAGGTATGCAATAGACCCGGCACAGCGCCGTTGTGCTGTCAGCCCTGCAGACTGTTGTTCTTGTGTGTTGAGAAATAAAATCTCAGTTTTAATCAGTCTTAGTTGGGAGTGGTAACCAGTGGTGTTTATGTGGGTTCATGTTATGTTTTAAAGTTACCGTACATGAAAACATTTTTCTCATATTTCTTATGAGTCAAGCAAGACAGCAAGCTGGATCCGGGTGGACGGATCGGTATCTGTGGCCAGAGTCTTCGGATTTGCTGCAGGAGATACTTCCTGCCTACAGCTATCAACATATATAACAACTCTTGAATGCAACCAGGATGATGAGCTACAACAACACTTAATTTCCATTTGGGATTAATAAAGTATTTTTGAATTGATTTGAATTGACTTGAGTCACAACTGTTGAGCTGATAAAAAAATAATAATAAACTCAACATTTTTGTGAAAATTTCAAGGATGTGAGGATTTTTTTTCTGTTGTGTGCTCATTTGATGTCTGACAATATTAACAAAAAATTATAAATGATAAAATATTAGGAAAAGTTATAAGTCCTGACCTAATGCTGCACAGTGTGGTTGACCTGCCCAGAAAAACACAGGAAGGACCAAATATATGTCCCATCAGAGAAATTTACTGTCTTCAAAAAGAGTCAGACATTCTGAACGGCTCCCCCTTATGGAAAATAATTTACTCTTCTTCTAGTTACTGTATCACTTTTTTGCACTAAACTTCCAAATAGTTTGTAATGTTCAACAACATTTTAAAGGTTAGGGTTAGTCCTTCATTATTCTTGAACAAAGAATAATGACAATAAATTTCTGATCTTCTCATTGAGCAACTATAACTCTTTAGTCAAAAGTTACTTCAAACCGGGGGGGCGCAGGATGACTGCAGATTGGTAAACAACATTTTGACAGGCTCCTGTAAGCCCTGCTGAAAAAAAACAACTGCCTTTTATAATAATATCCTCACTGCCTCCACGCTGGATTCTGCCTCTGAGGTTGGTGTTGTCGCAAGATTGATTCAATGGAGCCGTAATGTGGCCTCTAAGTTAAATAAATCGTTGGATACGTACTGTAACCCCAGATTCTATGAGTATAGGTGCAGCCCTTTAAGGCTATTGCTAGTGGATTTATCCCTTTGTGCGCAGCACAGCACTGAAAACTTTAGTCCACACCCACCTGCTGTGTGGGCCTCACCCCCGGTCCATATAAATTACAGTGAGACCAGGTAATCGGCTCCCAAATAGCTTTTTTCTTCAGCCATTTAGACCAGTGAGGCCCAGAGCTTAAAGGGCTGCGCCTATACTCATAGAATCTGGGGTTACAGTACGTAACCAACGTTCTATTTCGTATAGGCTCGCTCTTTAAGGTTATCGTTAGTGGGTTAAAGGCGAAGCAGGATGTAGTCTATGCCTCATTGGGTCCATTCAGACACAATATGAAGTGTCTGCTTGCACCAAAAAACATTTCATCACTCAGCCTTCTGTGTGCATAATTACGCAGCACGTAATTATGCGTTCCATGCGCAGGAACGCCCCGGAGAGAAAAGATCTCCGATGGGGAAAAGGGGATGACTGAAACGCAGTCCAGCTGCTGAGAATGGACAAAACAGAGGTTACGAATTGTAACCGTGTAACGATGAATAGAGCAGGTCAATAGCTCTTCAATATGAACTGATTAATAACAAAATGAACTGATTAGTAACCAAATGAACTGACTGGTAACAGCAGTCATGAACTGATTAGTAACAATAAAAACAGCAGTCATGAACTTGTGACTGATAATAAATGTCTCACACTGTAATTGCATGCAGTCAGATGTGAGCTCAAAACAAAATTCCATGAAACAAGTAAAAATCATTCTGTTAGAACTCTGAGAACAGAATGAGTCATGGAGAAGGCAGAGACATCGCGTAGATAGAAGCGACTAAATGAACAAGGCAATGACCAAGCGGCCGCCGTATAAATGTCCTCCACTGTCATCCCTCCATGCAAAGATGTAGAGGATGAAATTCCTCT